TAGCATATATGTACCACACGAAGTCGACATGTCGCGTTTCAAGACCCATGTCCCTACCTCTAAGGTCACTTTTACAGTAAGAAGGTACTCATTTTCTCAAGAAAGGTTTCAAGATACACATTTGTGTCCGGACTGTAACTTTGTCATGCATTTAAGAGTTTTAAAATTAATTGGCGCAATAGTCTACCATATCAAGACAACGTACGGTGTTGTAAGACCCATGTTCTTACCTCCAATGTCAATGTCACTCTAATAGTTTAAAGATATTTTATACTCATCAGAAGAGTTTGAAGGTACACACCAGTTTCGAAACTGTGACATTGTCATGCAGAATAACTTGGCATTTATGTCTCCCACAACAAGATGATGTGTGGCATCCAAGACCCATGGCCAAAAGTGGTAGTTTGCTATAAATAGCACTTCATTTCACAAGAACAATATTAAACAATTAGTTACTTTCATTCTCTTTTCTTTTCATAATTCCTTTCTGCAATGGAAACATTTTCAGGGGCATTCGTCACTTTTGAGTGACAGCTCTTGTTTTAAAGTGCAATGTATTTATTGATTCATTTTACACATGATGTTATTAAGGTCAAAGGAAGGTAGTGTTTCATGGCCAGGACTGGGGCTCTAATCAAACAACAGTCTGACAGGTTTTAAAACTTATCTTCCATAGTTTCAGGTAAGCGATATCGATATCTTTAAGATATCCATTTAATGCGCCTGGATCTTCCGTGCAACTTTTTCTGAATACTGACTTCTTACATTGGCAGATGTTAAATAATTTTCTAAGCTGCCACATAACTTAACTCAATATTAGTTTATTTTTTCTGGGAACGTCGGGACCTTTATTTTAAATACGTTTTAGTGTCAAGGTTTGCATATTGCTTAAACTGGTGTCAATTGGCAAACGTTTTGATAAAAATAATAGCTTATCTAATTAATATGTTTATTTTGCAGACTCGTTTAATAACCGGAGAAGATGACCAATCTAGGATGTTAAACATGTTTTTAGAAAACTTACGACATACTATGTTTCACACCTCAAATTCTGTAAATAATCTAGAAGACAACGTCATAAAAAGCCTTGTCAGAATTTTCCTTGTTGATACTTGACGAATGCCACCATACGAGAGGAGATGGCCTTACAGTACGCTAATGAGAAAATATCTAGTGGAAAATCCAAAACAAAAAAAAGATATGCCACAGGTTACTTGATAATTTGTCGACTGATGTTCATTCAACCTATTAAACATTTGCACATTATAATGAACTTTAAAATGAAAGTATAAATAGTTACATATTTGTTCTTTACTTTATTGAAGATTTATTGTTGTTTAAGCAAATTTCATCACTATGTCTAAACATTTTCCTTTTCTGCGTAAAAGAATATACATGGTTTGTCTTTTTGTTAAACTTTAGGTAGTAGGTCTGACAGCCTCAATTGGTGTCGGCAAATCTCGAACAGATCAGGAATCGGTAGATTACATTCTGAGGGTATGTGCTTGTCTGGACGTGAGAATTATTTCAACGGTAGAAAGAAATTTTAAAGAATTCAAGAAACATGTGAGCATTCCTGATGAAGGTATATATGCGTTTATTTATTTTAAAACTTCAAGAAATATTCTCTACAGATATTATACATGAATTTTATTTAAGAAAACAATAAATGTACATGATGAACCCACAAAGAACAACATGTTTAGGCAGTAATTAAATATTATTAATGTCCGTTGATGAGATTCATTTCAATGAATGAAACAGGGACAATTATTTTGCAGAGAAAAGATAAGAATCAAACGTATTTCAAGAACAAGTTTATAATCATGCTAAATAAAATCTATATATCATTTTAATTTTTGGAAAGACATAATGTTATCAATGACTTCCCTGTTAGACTTTGTAAGGATATCCTAAAATTTTATTAAAATAATTTAGTGTTATGTTTATAAAGACTATTTTTAAAATGTCATCTTAATCATTGAAATGTTTGATATGAATAAACAATCCTCATAATAATTTTATACTTTACAACTTGTTTTTAGATGCATTATAGCTAATTTATACCCACAAAATGCCATTTTGATGATTTTATAGAAACAATACAGCTTGTAAAGCAGAAAGATGACCCTTGTAAACATTTTATATTGACTGCAATGGAAGAAACTGAAGATATGTTGCAAGGTATAAATTCTATAAGCAATCGTAGTGTTCTCGGATAAAGCGAGACATATGTATAGTAGTATGTTTGTAGTTTGAAAAATAAATGTTTTATTTTTGTACATGAATGCTTCCAAAATACCTTCATGAAATAATATATTTGTATATTTCCTTATCAGCTTCTTCAAATAGCATCATAATATTTTATTTCGGGACATTTTGTTTACTTTACGTACTGTATGCATGAGTTTAATTAACAGAAACGTCCTAGGTAACGACTCTTTCAGGAGTTAACTATTAGATTGTGACAATCTTACCTACTATATATTCAAGGGATTTTTTCGTAATAATTTTTACTTTTTACAGCATACTAAATGATATGTACAATATAAATGCTGTCATAAAGTTTGAACAGCAAGAAAGACTTCTTGTTAAGGGAGCTCTAAATTGTCACTGTAGTGGACTTGATCTTATTGAATTCCTTTACACTTCCGGTGTAAAATTTTAAAGGTTTTTCTCTAGTCTAACAAAAAGTTATATTTGTGATACGTGTAAACTATTAGTTATAAAGATATTTAACTAGTAACATGGCCCCATATAAACGAAGCTTTGAAAATATAACCCGAACTGCAAGGCCAGGGTTATATTGCAAACAACCATTAAAATATGGCCATATAACATGTCAGGAATATTTATAACGAATTTATAAAGTTAGATTTCTTCACAAATTCACAGCAACCGTATTATAAAAAAAACTATTATAAACGTCGCGATTCACCAATGAAAACGGACGTTACAAACGTGTAGTATTATATATGTGATGCACAAAGAGCATTAAAAAATGATCAAACATGTTTTTAATTTTTAGACAATTCATTGATGCAACCTGATATGATTGATCTCATGGACAAGCAGCCATGTGACCGAGAGTCTCAAGAATACAATAAATGGACAGTTGATGTAATGAGAGCTGCACTTTTGAAGGTGGATGACTATGATGTGTCCAGAGATATAAGTAGTTGTGCAAAATACTTGAATGTAAGTTTCTGGAAAAAAATTTAGGTGTATATATATATATCATATAATGGGAAAGTACATAAATCAATTAATTAATTACTTTAAAATTTCATCATATCCGGTTGAAAATATTTGCATTTTATCATCCTTAGATATAGAACAAGACAATGTTTTAGCTGGTTTGAAAGATCGTTAGTTTGTGTTCCCTAACAATGCTTCAGTAGCAGTAAAATAAGGAAATGTGAACCTTAACAACCCAACATTTCAACTTAACATATGTACGGTACCAGTATGTTTTTAGGTCATTTCTGGCATAAAGTAAGTTTAGATATTCATGCTGGGATTGCCTTTCTCTTACATAAGCGAATTTATGAAGCCCATGACATGCTATATCTTTTTATGAACATTTAGTCAAATCTTAGATCAAAACAAGCAAGGCATCTGTATCGGGTAAAGTTAAGAAAAGTAATTGAATACTTATTGAGTACTAGTTTTTCATAATCTTATTTTCATGAAATTTTAATCAAATGATGATAACATGAAGACTATGTGACAAGTAAAAGTGGCAGTGTGTGGGCTTATCGCCATGTCACATTTAATATTGGTATAGTAAAAAGCGACAAAAACCTGGAGATAAGCTCCGCGTTTTTATTTAGCCCAATTATTCGCACACGCCGCAATTTTGTCATATTGATCGTTGTAAAACTTACATTTTTCAGTAGTAAACTGTCTACATTAGAGATATTTGTGTCAACTGGTGTGCTATTTCAAGAGTCCTTCAGTATATTATGGTATTTTTATAATTGTCTGAAAACTTATAAATGTATTCATTTACAATAACGGCATATTAATATGCTTCGAGTATAATTTCTAAACTATCAGTGATTCCTCATTGAAACTACGACTTGAAAAAAGTGCAGTGTGAAATAACCATACCTCTTTATAACTTAGATTTAATCATCTCGTATTGAAGCTACACACTGTTTTAAATACTCAAAGTAGGAAGTGTAAAAGAACCATAACTCTACTTTGATCAGTTTTAAAATTAGCTTCCTTTGTCCTGAGAATGGTATTTGAATAAACTTCAAACACTGACAGATATCGGTGAAAGGACGTGAAGTGTGAAAACACATTATTCTACCTTGCTTGATGCTCCGTTTATGAAACTTGAAAATGTTAAATAAGGCTTTTCCTGTGTAAAACATCTAAACTATTATTTATATCAAATTTCAAACAGTTGTAGAGACGAGGGATGGAAAGTGCAGTGTCAAAGATTAATAACTCTGCATTACTTAGTTTTTGAATCATGTCCCTCTGTAATATTTAATGATGTTTGTCCGCAGAATAACTTATAAGTATTGAAGGAATTTCAATGAAATTTCACTCGGTGATATGAAGTACAGAGTCAATTACTTTACATATATTCATAAAGTAAACATGTGTTAAAAGTCTTCTCATCATTTGGCATGTAGAATCACCTTGACAGGAGTACAAGCTTGTTCTTGCAATGGTGGTTTATATGTGCTTACAGAGTCAAACTCATTGACTTATGTCTTATTGTCCAAGAACTTAGATATTTGTCATACAGCATTTGGTAATAGATAATTTCAGATATTTCAAATATGTATACAGCCTTGATAAGATGACAAACCCTAATAGACCTCATTACTGACTTTAGATTTTAAAAGTGTGACCGCTTTTAACAATGTATCTCAGAGGAGCGATCCATGGACATCGTGACCCTCATACTGTCATATTCTATAGTATAATAGATGCAAATTTAAAAATGATATAATACGTTTTTTTTTCTTAAATCGATCAGATTTATAACTCGGCCCTAGAGGTTAACAAACTCTTGCTTTCGAGAGATGTCATTAAGTATTTGGCTGAAAAACACAAACTTGAAGGGGAAAACAAAGACAAACTAACTGAGATGGAAAAGGAGCTGTTCAAAAATCTGCAAAGTAGGTTCATCGTTTTATTGTTAAATATAATAATTGATAGTTAGCTATCGTTGGTGTAACGAACTTATCAGGAGTATATTAAAATATCACTTTTAATTTTGATGCAAAGAATTAAGGAAATGGTGCCATTATCTATGATATACAATAATAGTTGGGAAATATATCTGTTTATCTTCAAAATCCTAAAAAGGAATAACCATTGATTTCACCCATTTTAATTGTCAGATGTGCAGAAAACAATAAACGTTAAAGGGAAAAACACAGAAAATCCAAATGTGAGGATTTTGAGCGACACCTTACGGGAAGATGCTTGATGACAAAGGGGACGATTCACGGGCCATGGTTTTTGTGAAAGCAAGAGCTACTTGCAGATCTCTTGCTGCATTTTTGGACAGGGATCTCCAGAGTAGTGGTGTAAAAGCGAGTCCATTATATGGAAAGGAAAATCGTGGAGGAGATGACGGTATGACAATTTTAACTTTCTATTATTAATGCGAAGCACTAGAGCGGTTGAAAATAATAATTCTTTCTTAATTCATTTTAATAAGGACATTAACACGTGGTCTTTGATATCTAACTTGACTAACCAAACCCCTTACTAGTTTATTTTTCATATTAACGGCAATGTGTTATTTATATATGATTTTCATTATTGTAAACAGGAATGACAGAAAGTCAACAAACCGAGATACTAGACAAGTTTCGCAGTGGATTATTCAAAGTACTAGTATGCACATCTGTTGGGAATGAGGGTATAGATGTTCCTGATTGTAATATTGTTCTTAGTTACGAGTATTCCGGAGATGAAATAACAAAAATACAAATGAAAGGTATTGAACTTTCGTAAACATTTGTATCGAAACTATTACCTCCTTATTGATAAATCAGCAAGTTGTTCTTAAACAAACTAGAGTCGCCCTGTTAAGTCTTTTAGGCATGTATCGGTGATATTTCAACGTTATTTATCCTGTCAAAATAACTAATTCATGTTTCATTCAAAATTTTTAATGGACATATATGAGAACCGTTAAACGCATACTTTTAAGTCAGCATATTATTTGTTTTATCAATAACATAATTATTCAGGTCGTGCACGTAAGAAAAAAGCGACAACAATCACTATGGGAAGTGATAAAGTAGTAGAACAGGAAATGATAAATACATACAAAGCTGCAATGATGTATAGGGCCATGAATACTGTAAAACAGTTGGATCCAAAATTCATCAGTATGAAAGTCAATGCCTACCAAAGTGAAGAAACACATAAATACAGATTTAAAGCAGAAGTTGAGAAGTTGAAAAAGGGAAGGAAGTCTGATGAAGATTACGAGATTTTGTGTGGAAGATGCAACACTTTTGCTTGTTATGTCTCTGATGTAAGGCAGCTTGGACATGATCATATCGTAATTGATAAAAATTTCGCTGACAAGATTACAAAAACAGAACACAAGAAGCCGAAAACATATGACGGCCTACACAAAAAATACAAGATGTTTTGCAAGAAATGCCCAATAGACTGGGGTATAATTGGACAAAGAGATTGCTTAGACTGCATGATCCTAAAAATCATCAATTTCAAGTTTAGGAATTTGCGTACACATGGTGTGAGTACCTACAAAAAATGGATCGATGTACCATACGCTGTTCCTGAAATAAAGTTGGAAGATCTACCCAGATTGCTAGGAGGTCCAGAGGAATTATAATTGTTCGTGTAAAAGACGAAATAAAATTTAAGATCTAAACCATATATGTACTAAAGTACTTAAATTTCGGGATGACAAGTATTTATAATATCTATAATGTAGGGGTATTAATGTTTTACAATGTTAATGAATATTTAATGTTTTTCTTGATTTTAAAGGTAATGTCTACCATGTCATCGTTCAAATATTGTTTCATTTGTTATTATTTTTTATTAAATGAATGCCCTTGTTGTAAAAAATTAAAAGGAATTTTTAGATCCATAATGTAGATATTGATTAGAACTTTAAATAAATCATAGATATTATGTTTTTGAAATGATTTTGAAATAGGATTCAGTTCATGTATATTTGTTGCTTACCAGTGTTTAATTTGTGAAAAAGCTTTTTGTATATTGCTCTAATAAGTAATTTTTTTAGCACTTACTGGCAATGAAAATTCATTTGGTAAATACATTATTCAAAATTCATGATCATAGAAATTGAATTTAGTGGTATTATTTATTTGGATATCAGACAAGTAATTTAATTGCTCAGTATAAACGGTTGAAATATTATATTGAAGCGATGTTTATATTGTAAACAACGGTTTGTATAAGTCATGAACCATGTTAGACATCGTTATAACAAACTGATAAAAAAGAGAATTGCTATATTTGAGGTTAAACGAAAATTACTTAATGAATTGACACCAGTGGTGAAGAAAGATTATATAAATGGAAGCGACGTTACAAACGTTCAGTACATATAATACATACCATGTAATACATACTGTACCTTCTCGGGCAAAAGTTACCGTTATTGAGCAAGTATGTACTTGTTAGTCCTAATTTCTTGCTTTCAAAAAATTTTGTATATTAATTGGTATCAAGATTACATATTAAGTATTGCATACTCTGTAAAGAGTGTTCATATCGTGGTGCAACACCGTTCGACCCCCCTCCCCCGATTACAGAAATAATTACGTTTTATTCAAATTCGTTTAATTCACGATTACTTTCGAACCTCGAGATAAATTACTGAAGACTATTTATGATAATTAAAATCGGCGTTCAAACAAACAAAACAAACTTACAAAACGTTTAAAGTTGTATTATTTAGTTACTATTGCTGTTTGATTTTATGCCTTCATAAAACTTAGTGTGATTAGATGGTGACGTTATGTCGATTAAAGTGTAAATGCTGATTGTCAAGGTAAGTATCTAAAATTGCAATTTTCCATAATGGTCTTTAATTTTGGATTCCACTTCGCAAAAGTAATCAAGAACTCACGGGCTAAACGGTTATTTCTATAGAATCCATTATAAAATATATTGCTAACGTAAGCTTGATTAATACAAGGGTGGTGCAGGTTATTTTTATATTTCGTACTTAATATATGTTATCATAAATTATCAGTAAGTCTACCACAATTGTACAGGTCAATCAGACTGAACTAATCAGATACAATTAATAAATAGCACACGCATACATATATACAAAGTATATCGATTCAAAGTGAAACTTGAAATTTTCATTTAACCATCTTGTGTTGTGTTGCTTTAACGATGTGAACGGATATTCACGTCGAAATTGTTTCTCCATTAATCGTATAGCTTCATTTCATTGAGAAATAAAATTTGGTAAAAATTACTGAATTTATTGAAAATGTTCATACTTTTGTACATGCAAATGATAGCGATTTATGTAATCAAACCTATATTAAAAAAAAGCTATATGAATATTTCTATACTATTTCGGGAGTGCTTAATTCGTATATTAAAAAAAACAAGAAACAAAAAGATAATTTCTTTTTAATATATAGAGATATCCTTTTTTCATAATTATATTTACGGTGAATTTCAGTGTTTCTTTTTTCTTCCCTTTGTCATGTTTAAGTTTAGTTAATCTCATAAGTACATAAGTATACAACTTTCATGAGTTACTCTTTTAGTACTTTATATCAGTTAAATTGTATGCCTCTATAATGTTGTTGTTAGTGCATTTTTGCCATTCTTGTACAACTTAAAATTTTTTACATACAGAAATTACAAGTTTATGTTGTAATTTCATTTTTCTTTAAGTTAAGAAAGTCTGCTGTACACTTATTTGTTATAAGAATTCTCGACAGGTTATTTAGCTGTGTATAAACGGTTGTTTGCAATGGAACCCTCGCTGAGCATTTCGGATTATATCACACCATAATTAACATTTCCCCTCACCATGTTGACTATAAAGATTGTACAATGTGTTACATGCTAAGTAAAATTTATGTGATGTAATGTTATGTTATATATAACAACACGTTAAATTGGGTCATATAATCTGTCATACATCAATTTTACTAAATTTGTCACGGTCTAGGCCGTGAGGTAAAAACCTCGGGGGTAGTGTGTCCTCTCAATAGAGGTTTAATAATTTAGTCTGTAAAGGGAGTTGGTTTTGGTTCCCACACAGTTTACTTCTATAGTAATACTATTCTATATTACTTTGCTCATTCTGTTACTTATGACTTTAACAGAACACTATCTCTACATAGATAAATAAAATTCTCTGTAAGGATTTAAACACTGTTTATTCCCAGTAGTAATTATTCCAAGTAGTAAATTGCAAGTTTATTTGGTTAATAACAATGTTACCAATAACAAAATAATAAATTGTCAAAACATATTCATGAGCAGACAATTGTATTTTTATCATTCAGCAACAGATTCAAATACGATAATGTAATATAAGTAAAAGTTTGCAAAAGAAATGACCAAGAGTTTTCAAGTTCTATTTATGTTTAAAACCGTTTCTTAATTATAATTATCTCCTTTAAATTTAATGTATCTTAATGTCTAACGTGTGTACTTCTTTTAATACTCAACACGGAAAAAAATAGCGTACCAGTGAACCGTGACCAAATTTTAACAAGCAGTTAAATAATCTATTTCAAACAGTAAAGTGTTAATAAAAAACGTGTAATAAAGATTAAATATCTAGAAAATAGCTCAGAATTGTTTAATCCTGAATAAATAGAATCGTTATTTATCAAGAATAGTTTAATTACTTTAGTACGTAAAAATTGCAGACGGCACTTATAAATTTTTTTCCGCTCAAATTTGTATCTCAACAAAACGGGGTTTTGCCTCTGAAGTTCTGGTCAAGACTGAGCTCTTCAACCAAAAATCCGGGCCCTTTTATACCCAGACAAATCCCAACCAAAATAAAGTGGTTGAAAGTGGTTGGTTTACTAAAAAGTGGTTGTGGTTGGAGCCAAAAAGTGGTTGGTCCGACCAAGAAATATTGGTTGATTTACCAAAACGGTTAGAAATTTAAACATAGACTCTTAGACCTATGAAATAATAAAAATGGACATAGAACATTTTGTTTACACATATTATGGCATTTTTCTTAAACAAGTTATACCTTTTTCAATGAAGAAAAATACAACAAAATCCGATCGCAGAATTTCGTCAATAAATTAGCTGTAGCCGGTCGTCCCTAGTAACGTACCGGAAACAGTTCAAAATGGCATATTCAAGTGAAAGTGGAAGCACGTTTTTCTAAGAAAACGGATCATAACTACAAAAAATACATGGAATTAAAACATTGTTACTTGGCAAAAACAGTGACTTATATAATTATTAAACAATAACAATAGGATTTATAATCACAGGTAACAAGTGAAAGTGACAATTTCCCTCAGAAGTTAGATTGAGCTGCACATCGTGAAAATGGAGGATAAAACAAGGAAAACATGTTGGATAAATAGGATAGATTAAATCTGGCTCATAACCCGTATACATGGGTTGGTGTTTTGATTTCTAGTAAAACACAGCTCATTATATAAGTTTTATGGCTAGAAAATGTCAACATATCCTCACTATTAAAGATTAGAAGAAAAATAACTTCTCAAAGTTCGAGTCAATTAAGGTAAGGAGTTTGAGTTCATGCAGTTCAGTTATGTTACATGTTATAGTTGAAAATTTCAGATCACTACATTACCCCTTTGTTTCTATGGCTAAACTCCTGTTGCCATCAATCAAAATTAATAATTTTTAAAAGTAAAATTCTTAAAATATTTAACAATTAAATAATTCCAACTATTAAACACACATATTATAATAAATAATGAAATCAATTACTAAGCACATAATACTGTCAATTGATAACCAATTGTCCTTTGAGATCATTTTCTCATGAAGGTCTGTTTTTTAATTTATAGATTTCTTTATCATTTTAAGAGAAAACTATATAAAATATGTAGCATAACTACATAACAAAATTTCAATAAATGTCTTCAAGGTCACTAAAAACATGTTAAACCATGTTATCACATATATGACGTTTAGTGTCGCAAGTAAATTTCACAGAATTTAGTTTAAAGTTCCTGTTTGCTAGTTCCTGTTACATCTTCTTCATATTAAAGTTGTGTTGTTATATGATTTTGTTTAACAACACGGTATATCATATTCATCCAGTTCAAATGTTTTTTTTTCTTTCATTTCACAAGTCTACAATTTAATTTCTGTTTATTATGTTACAATACTCATCCAGTCAATCGCCTCAATGCAATGTTTTTATATTTCACAAGTCACTTAATTTAATTAATTAATACTCTTTCATAATTTTATTCAAATGTCCATTGATTTAGCACTTCAATTTATATTTTCACTGTAAAATGCATGTTAAAGTTATATATACTTTTTCAATTCTTCTCTTTAAGTTATAAATTCAACAGTTTATTTAATATTTCACCTTCAGCATTATAATTCGATGTCAGTTATGTTGTAATCAGTTTTTTAAGCACTTCTTTAATATTAAATGATTAATTTTATTTCACTTCATGGCTTTTCAGTGTCCACAGTTTATAAATGTTAACTATTATATACATACATATATTATGCTTTTTTAACGACACTTTTCAGGGTTGACTTCTTGTTTTGTGTATAATTCTCCTTATTTTCTTCGAATTCGTTTGGTTTTTGGGTGACAATTCTTTGACGCAATTCACATTTCTTTTTATCCTTGCAAGTTCTTCGCTGACCTTATTTATGGCTTTTTCACTCTGACGTACAGCCCTGGTGTTCGAGTCGATAGCATCTGATATCATCTTGGCTGCTTTCATTATGATGTCGCACATGTTACCGTTACTGGTTGGTTTTCATCTTGTGTCGTTTTCTCTTCAGTCTTTTGTTTCTTTCTTTGAGGTTCAGTTTCATCTGCCATTGCTTCCTTGTAGAGTGGATCGGTTCTAAGTCAGACGTTTGGAGATGAAGATGTGGAAGTAACTGAGATGCCGGATGTTCGTCAAGTAGTGGTGTTTGAGATGGAGTTTTTCTGTTTAGTTTTTGGAGTATTTAATGGATTCATTATGTAGGATTCAAGACTGTTTTTTATATCGTTTGGATTTATTGTTTCCAACCCCTGACCAATTTTAGCTGAGTGGGTATGTCATTCAAGCGTTGGCAGGAAAAGCTTGTTGCTGTTGTTTGTTGTTGTTCAAGTTTCCACTTCTGTATATGGTAGGATATGTGGTATGACTTAGAGGTACAAATTGTAGTTACTGGAATGACTAGTTTAAGGTTCTGTTTGTTGTAGTTGTTGTTGTTGCTGTTGTAAACAGCGAGTTTGAGTAGCATATTTGGTGCCTTGTTGCGAAATTAGAGCTGTGGCGTAGCGTAATTGCGACGTTCGGATTTCCAGCACATCAAACCAGACGTTTCTGCTTGCTGGAAAAGCCTTAGAAGGGAGTGCTAGTGAACTACCATTTTGGGCAAAGGCCCAAACCACCTGACATGATGACATCATCCTCTTCTTCCCTCGAATAACCTTTCCGAATCGTTCTAATGGGTTCTCAGATTGGTGTTAAGTGCCTCCCATGCCACTGCACTGACAGTTCTTTGCTTAGCTGTACCATGTCGTCCACCCCTATAACGTAAGGATTTTCGGCCATCTTTAATATCTTGCCATAATCCGGTTGACCAAACCTGGTTTCCTCATCACGATGCCTAGAGTACTTCTTAATATGGTCTAATAGGGACTTCTTGTCTGTACATCTGAAGGAACAAAACGAGCACGAATAAGGTACTCGATCAAATGGCTCATGGTGTTTCAGAACGTGTGACACCATTATTCCCTTTCTATCCACCTTGCCGCATCTCACGCACTTGTAGGCTCTCCCTCTACCTTTGAACTGTGTTAACGACATCTTAACTGAAAATACACAGACCAGGAAACACTCATAAAAATTTTGAAAATATGATTTGACATCTACACGGTCACTGGTACATGTGGGGATCGGATATGTTACCGCCATGAAAATAAACTGGAAGGTACTTCTGTTCTCTACGCACGATATGTTTTATACGAATGACACGTCTGGTGATACAATACACGGTTATCCTAATTTTGGACAGTAACCATCATTTTGAATATGTCTTTCAAATATACTAAATTATTTATTGATTTTATAAATACGTTTACAACCCTGCAGGGCAGTTTCGACTGTTAGTTTACTAACTGTTATAGTATACAATGAATATTAGACGCAGGAAGTCACTAATTTTTTTTTATGTCAATTGTTCAACTGTTTACAATGTATCTGGTATACTGTTTTAAATAAACAAGTGTTAATTACACTTCAGTTCTCTGTGTACGGATCACACATTTACCAAATTTATGTATATGAATATTAAGAAAAACTCATTTGCTATACAAGCATATGTCTATCATATACAATAATATTTAACAGTTTTTACATATTTCCAATATTTAAAAAAATGAGAACACTTTTATTATCATCTAACATATAAATTTTGCTTTGAAATGTACTACAAAGTCAGTTTAATATATCTATATGTCATTTAGTTAATTCTTTTGTACATTGCTGGTCGTTTTACAA